TGGCTTATAAGAACAGATTGTTAATTTTCAGGAATTTTGTGAGTCAGTTGTTAAACACGGCCATTATTAAAAATTAAGTGATACTAGCTTACGATTTTATACATATTAAAAATGAAAGTAAGAAGCACTCAAAACTTATCACTTCCTTATTTTACTACATTTTACTATGTTATGCTCTTGAGATATTTACTTTTATTGTATCTGTACGGTGGAAATGCTATATAATGGTGTGCTACTCTGCCCAGGGCTGTGTTCAGTTATGTAATGTTGGTCACTTAAAATTGCCTCTGGTAGGAGTCTTTTCACCATGGAAATTGGCAAACACAGCCTCTTCAGAGAGCCGGTTTTTAAACATTTAACAGCATCCACTGGATATTGGGATGCTTCATCCTGCTTTGCTAGGGTTCCTGAGACTGGGAAGGCTTGTGCAGCACTGACCTGTGATGCCCACTGAGAGCAATCCTTCTGGCAGCCAGACGGAGGGTTCCTGGGCCTGTTAGATGTGACCCAGATTCCTCCCTCTTCACAGGCCCTCCCATACTTTGACCGGCTAGACTATGTGTCCATGATGTGTAACGAACAGGCCTATTCACTGGCTGTGGAGAAGTTGCTCAACATCCAGCCTCCACCCCGGGCACAGTGGATCCGAGGTATGCCCCATCGCCTTCTTCCTGCGGCCCCCTGTGAGGACAGCACAGTGCCCCCACCACCCTCCCACTCTCCATCTTAGGAGCACTGAACCCAAGCTTAGAATGCAGACCCCAGGCTCTGCCCAGAACTGCTCTGTCAGCTCGGATCCTTGGCTCCTGTATCCTATATCATAGGATCCTCCTATGTCTTCACCCCTCTACAGTGCTGTTTGGAGAAATCACACGGCTTTTGAACCACATCATGGCTGTGACCACACATGCCCTGGACATTGGGGCCATGACCCCTTTCTTCTGGATGTTTGAAGAGAGGGAGAAGGTAAGAGAAGGAAGGAAGGATAGTAATAGGGAAGGAGATACAGGAAGTAGAGAAGATATGAAGGAGACGAGATTAAAAAGAGAGAATATTTAGGAGGAGAATATATATTTAACCTGGGTTATATTCTTTTTTTTAAATAAGGAACTTTTTTTTTTTAAAGATTTTATTTTTTTCCTTTTTCTCCCCAAAGCCCCCCAGTACATAGTTGTGTATTCTTCGTTGTGGGTCCTTCTAGTTGTGGCATGTGGGACGCTGCCTCAGCGTGGTCTGATGAGCAGTGCCATGTCCGCGCCCAGGATTTGAACCGACGAAACACTGGCCTGCCTGCAGTGGAGCGCGTGAACTTAACCACTCAGCCACGGGGCCAGCCCCTAACCTGGGTTATATTCTTAAGGAACTCTGTGTCATGAGGGGTTGGTTGGGCACGAGGGGACAGGGCAGTGGACCACCATGTTGTTGGACTCAGGGGCCCAGGACTTTGTCACTAATTCCCAGTGTGTCCTATCAAGATGTTTGAATTCTACGAGCGAGTATCTGGGGCGCGGATGCATGCTGCTTACATCCGGCCGGGAGGTGTGCACCAGGTGAGCAGGCTCCCATGCCTCCCTCAACTTCCAGTCCATGCCTGTATCCTCTGTGGCCACTGGAGGGCAGTGCTGGCTGATGGAAACACTAACCTTGTAGCCCTGGGGCTGGGAGGCTGAGCTGGCCTCCTTAGTGGAGGCTCTGCTGTACTCACTGTCATCCTCCTTTTGGCTTCTAGGACCTACCCCTTGGGCTTATGGATGACATTTATGAGTTTTCTAAGAACTTCTCTCTTCGAATTGATGAGTTGGAGGAGGTAAGATAAGAGCCAGTGGGAAAAATCCCTCTTTTCCCCTCCAGAAGGGCTTGAGGGGTTTTAGTCCCCAGTTATAAAGAAATACAGAAGTGTTTGAAGGGTATTATGAAGATATTCACACACCAGTTTTCTTGATCAACAGATGCTGACCAACAATAGGATCTGGCGAAATCGGACAGTCGACATTGGGGTTGTAACAGCAGAAGATGCACTTAACTATGGTTTTAGGTAGGAGGAATGACGTCTCTCCTTAGGAATGGGGGAGACCCAGCCTGACATCTTGGCTTCAAGAATGTTGTGTGGCACCTTCCTTGCCATGTTCTGAGTTTGTATCCCATGTCTGGAGTGTGGGGGAGGGAAAGAGGAGACCAAGAAAGAGAGCGTGCCTACTTCCCTGGTTTGTGGAAAGTGACTCTTGTTCCCATTATACTCTTCAGTGGGGTGATGCTCCGGGGCTCAGGCATCCAGTGGGACCTGCGGAAGACCCAGCCCTATGATGTTTATGACCAGGTGGAGTTTGACGTCCCTATTGGCTCTCGAGGGGACTGCTATGATAGGTAAGGCCCAAACCCTTTATTAGGTCATTGTCCAGCTAGTTTCTCCCGTCTAATTTTTCTCTTGGCTACTTTCTTTCCCATACTTCCCAATATTTATTGGAGCTCTTGGGTGTGGTAAACTAGGCTTCTTTTCAAAGCACTTTGACGCATGAGACACCTTATTTTACCCTTATGTTATCCTTATGTCTTAGATAGAACTAGTTTGGGCTGTATTTTCTAGCTGAGAAAGCTGAGGCATAAAAGTTTGACATTAGCCTGGGATTATTCTGTCAGTAGTGCTTGAGACTAGAATCCTACTGACCCAGTGCTCTTTCCACTAGATTCTAAGTTTCACATTCCATTCTTGTTTACTGACCCTGAATAAGATTTGCTGCTGTTTTCTTTTTTGCATTATTTGACTCTCACCCATTCTGTATTCCAAAAAGTATTTAAGAGAGTAATTAAAGAGGGAAATACTACAGGACATGGCCTGAGAAAATTAGGAGAAGATTTGGGGAAAGACCCAAAACTAGAATCAGAAGACTAGGTTTTATATGGGTGGCCAAGCCAAGCAGAGATGCTGTTCTAGGAGAAAAGAATGAGGAAAGTTACCTAGTACTTTCCAGGTTGGCCAAGGGCATCCCTCCTGCCTCACATCTGATTCTCTGACTGCTCTGCTCTTGTTCTGAATCTGTCCACCCACTTCAGGTACCTTTGTCGGGTGGAGGAGATGCGCCAGTCTGTTCGAATCATCTCACAGTGTCTAAACAGGATGCCTCCTGGGGAGATCAAAGTTGATGATGCCAAAGTGTCTCCACCGAAGCGAGCAGAGATGAAGGTTGGCTACAGGGAGAGGGAAAAGAGGTCTTGGAAAGGGGCCAGCAACTGGGGAGAAGCATCCTTGGGTTAAATCCTACTTTTTAGTTTTCCATTTTCAAAGAATCCACTGTATAAGATTCTTAACCTCCCAAAGCCTCCTCTCTCATTCTGATCTCTGCTCACTGACTTACATGTGGGTTTTGAGTCTCCCTAAGGGTAGAGATTATTTCCTGTGGTGTGGGAAGGCCTGCGAGACAGTTTGGATCTGGCTTGTTGTTGCTGCCGTTTTTCTCTCTCCAGACTTCTATGGAGTCACTGATTCATCACTTTAAGTTGTATACTGAGGGCTACCAAGTTCCTCCGGGGGCCACATACACTGCCATTGAGGCTCCTAAGGTGAGGAAAGGAGGGAAGAAAAAGACAGTATGTGGAGTGGGTGACTGGAGATAGATGTTCAAGTAAATGCTTGTTTGTCAGTGATGGAGAGGACATGAGGGTGAATAGAGAGGTTTTGTTGGCAGAGAAAAACGTTCTTCCCGTTAATGGAGGCAGCCAACCTTTTTCCTTGGACAGGGAGAGTTTGGGGTGTACCTGGTGTCTGATGGCAGCAGCCGCCCTTATCGATGCAAGATCAAGGCTCCTGGTTTTGCCCACCTGGTAAGAACCAACCCCAATGACTCCTACTCCAATAAATGAATCTAATAATTATTGACCTTCGTTGAGATTTTTATGACGTTGCCTTCCTTCTCCGACCTTTTACCCCTTGCCTAACATTGTTGCTATCTCAATCTCTCCAGGCCGGTTTGGACAAGATGTCTAAGGGACACATGTTGGCAGATGTCGTTGCCATCATAGGTACAAGGCCTATTGTGTAGTAGAGAGGTCCTAGACAAAGGGTTTGGGACCCTAATTGGGAACAGAAGCTGAACACTTCCCATTCAGCATATGCTGTGGGCATGAACTCAGATCCTCAGTCTTGTGGGCACAGTATTGCGTTCTGGATCCTTGCTAACTCCACTTTTCTTCTCCTCCTCTTGACCTAGGTACTCAAGATATTGTGTTTGGAGAAGTAGATCGGTGAGCAGGGGAAAGCATTTGATTTCCCTGCCTGTCAGCTTCCTCTGTGGGGCCTGTCCATCATTGGAAATGGAACTGTGTGTGGGTGTGTACACGTAGGGTACAGGAGCACTGAGCTGTCAGGCTTTCTGTGCATGTATTAGAAAAGGAGAAATTATAATAAATTAGCCGCCTTCTGGCCCCTATGCCCAAACTTCTGGTATGTCTTTTTCAGTTTCATCTTGATGGGAAACTTGAGTGTTCTTTGACCCTCCACTTCTTTGTTAGACTGAGTTCTTAGCAATTTTTCCTGTTCATCTCCACCCCCTTCTCTGACTCTTGTCCTTTCCACTTCTCCATTCCCCATTTCCTCTTTTCCTCTTAGTTCCCCCTGCCCAAACCTTGCTATCTACACAAACTGGTAAACTCAAATCAAAACGGGGGGTAAAGTTCCGGGAGGTGGGGGGTGGGGGGGTGGGTAGGAGGGAGAAGGGCTATCGTGGGGTCTTAGGGAATCTCGAGGGGCAGTTTATCACATGAGTGATAACATATGATACAGGGCTGGAGTATCCCAAGCACGGGAGTCCCTGCTTTCTGTGGGAGCAGGGCCTTGGTCACTGAAGGACTCAGGCGTAAGAACCCAGATCTAGCTCCCTTAGTTGGCCCTTCCGGAGCCGCCCGGCCTCTAGTGCAGGAAGGGGAAGGGGCCAAAGCTGGGGAAGGCGTGGCAGGAAGGGGGGAACTCTGTGGTCAGGGAGCCGCTCGCCGAGCACAGCTGCGCAGTGCCAGCAGAGCCTCCGATCCCTGGCTCCCGGCCCCTCAGCCCCCTGGCCAGGATGATTCCAGCAGTGGTCTTGCTCTTACTCCTTTTGGTTGAACAAGCAGGTGAGAGGGTTTGGTGAGGGACAGTGAGCTGGGCACCAGGGTGGGAATCAAGGGGATGTGTCCGAGGGCCGAGGCGCAAAAGACAGAGGAATGCCGGCGGTGGGCTCATGGGCACAGAGACCCTGAGGCTGGTCCTATCCAGTCCCTGTCAGGGCACAAGAGTCATAGTTCCCTCCTTTCTTGTCCCTTTCTTAACTTTTTTGGGGTTGATATACACATAAGGCTTCCCTTTGGCAGGGGAGGAGAGTGGTTGTATGACTTGAAAAGCTGGTCTGGGGAAAAGCTCCATTTCTCATGATCATCATTTCCTGTGGGGTGCCTTTAGTCTTGTCCACTGGGAGCTGACCTCTAGCTAGTTAAATAATATTTATAATGCCCTCTTTAGGAAGGCAGGGGCTTGTCCTTGTGCTTGGGAGTGAGGCAAGGATAGTCACGATGAACAGACGTGATTGCTGCTTCTGTGGGCCATTACTAACACACCATTCTGTCAACAGCTGATACGGAGGTGGGCAACATGAAATGCCCCATTCTAGAGACCTGAGTTTCAGCTGAGAAATAGAGGCAGAAATGGGAAGGTCTCAACAGCTGTAAGGCTCCGGTACTCTATTTACGAACTCTCACTTGGTCTCTGGGTTGTCTAATACTGGGAAGGGGTTTGCGTATGTGTTTCGAAGAGGGATAGTTGCAGCTGGGCGTTGGGGAGGAAGGGTTAGTGAAACCCAAGGAAACTGGGGAAATTGAAAGAGATGGGGGGCAGCCCTGTGGCCGAGTGGTTAAGTTCGCGAGCTCTGCTTCGGCAGCCAGGGGTTCGCCGGTTCGGATCCTGGGCACCGACATGACACCGCTCATGAAGCCCTGCTGAGGCAGCGTCCCACATCCCACATGCCATAACTAGAAGGACCCACAACTAAAAAATACACAGCTGTGTACCTGGGGGCTTCGGGGAGAAAAAAGGAGAAATAAAATCTTAAAAAAAAAAGAGAGAGATGGACTGAGGGCATCCACCAGCCCAGCTGTGAAAGTGGAGGGAAGGACTTAGTGAGCTGCCAGCCTGCTGCCATGAGATGAGGAGGGAGCAGGGGCTCTGAGGCGTAAAGGAAAGGGCACCAGCTTTGAAAGCAGAAAACCCCTATTTGAGTTCCAGCTCTTGTTACTTAACTCTGTGGCCCTGAATGAGTTACTTAGCTTTTCCCGGCCTTGGTTTCGTCATCTGTAAAATGGCGGCGATGTTTCCCTCACAGGGTAGTTTTGAGATTTATGCAATATTGTATGTGAAAGAGTGTCACAGAATAAAAAGTACTCTACAGCTATCCGTCACATGCCCATGAGCCCTGATAGGGGCCTGGAGCAGATAAGGGCTGGAGCTCAGACCCTATTTGATTTTTTCAATTGCGTAAAACTTCCTCTCTCTCTGGCCCAGAGTGAGTAACAGGGCAGAGGACCCGGAGACGGAATCCACAGAGCTTGTGTTCGATCCCTTGAGCCCAGGCTGGGACACTCGCCCAGCATGTGTGCAGAGCCATTGGTATCCATAAGGCCTGGAAAGCAGACACCTTTTTGCACATTTACGTGTCTTATGGTGGGACAGAAAGCAATGAGAGTGAGGCTAGGAGGTGACCAATAATAGAGTAATTGTCTTCCCTCCCTTCCCCAGCTCACATCCTTCCTGTCCAGCCCTCAGCCACAGGTCACAGGACTTAGCAGAGACACTCCCTGTGGTTTCTTCACTGAAATTTGTCACTGCCTCCCCTCACCCTACCCCTCTGGGCTGAGGTTTTGGTCTTAGCCCAGTGAACTCAGATGGGTCCCTTGAGGGCTGTAAAGTGCTCAGTGGTGCCTGAGCAACCCACAGTGCAAAAGGGAGAGCGTTGGGAGCTGAGAGGGAAGTCCTCAACCCTTAGTACATGTCAGCTCCATCGCAACAGGACCCTTCACACTTCCCGTCCTACCCCTACCCTAGGGTGAGAGAGAAGAGGGAAAGGTGAGAGAAATGGGAATCCAGAGAGGAAGATACAGTTTTCTCCTTTGGAAGGCTCCCCTCCAGGCCCTGTGCTATCTCCCGGAGCCCTTTCCCTTCTCTCCTCTGAGCACCAGATCTTCCCCGATGCCTCTGACCCCACGGGCACTCTCTATCCCCTCAGCGGCCCTGGGAGAGCCTCAGCTTTGCTATATTCTGGATGCCATCCTGTTCTTGTATGGTATTGTCCTCACCCTGCTCTACTGTCGACTCAAGGTAAGGCTGGGGCGGGCTAGGGTGGAGGCTGGAAGGAGAAATGGGAGGGTGGTGGCAGCATGGCTTCAAGAAGAGGGAACAGAAGAGATTTCCCCAGTTTTAAGGGGAGGGAGATGGGCCACTAACTTCACCTTACTAATTACCTCTCCCCTACTCCAGATCCAGGTGCGAAAGGCAGCTATAGCCAGCTATGAGGTATGGACCCTCCCTCACCCGGGTGTCAACAATTTTGCAGATTCTTAGTCCTTCTGGGGCTTTAGCCTTGGGGTCTGTGGCCTCTGGGAGGGCATGAGTCTCAGGTGCTGATCTAGTAAGCTTCAAAGGAAGCTTCCTCCCTCCCACCCTCCCCCTCCTCACCCTACCCACCCTGTCACCTAGCCAAGTCACAAGTAAAATTTTCAGCAGGTGACAGGAAGAGTCAATGAGTGACAATGAGTACGTGAGAGAGTTGTATGTTTTGTGTATATGTGTGTCTGTAGCCATGTGGACAAATGTGCATTCATGCCCCCAGAGTATCCCTGTGAGCACCCTCTAGCCCAAGGGGCCTAGCCACCCCCGGGGCCAGATACCTCCCTGGGTGGAGGGGAAGATGCTGAGGGGCCCTGAAGGAGGTGTGGGTCTCTAATGCCTTGCCCTTTTTGCCTCCGCAGAAATCAGATGCCGTTTACACGGTGAGTGATCCTGCCTCCCCCACCTAGCACCCGCAGTCACAGGAAGTTAGTAGAAGAGGGTGGGATTTTGAGTGACCTTCAGAAGGGGTAGGGTCTGTGGGGGTGGGGAGTGGGAGTCCTGTGATGGACTCAAGCTCCTGACTATCCTTTGACATCCACCCCAGGGCTTGAGTACCCGGACCCAGGAGACTTATGAGACTCTGAAGCATGAGAAACCGCCACAGTAACTTTCAAACAGATGCCCTTGGTCACATCCTTCTTCTGCTCCGGTTCTCCTTTCAGCCCTCATGGTTGGCATCACACATGTCTCCCTGCCATTAATGCTAGCTGACCCTACCCCTGTAATGATGCTATGCCCCCCATTAACGGACATCAGTGGTTCCTCTTCCCTGTCAAACACCTATGCTCAGATGCTATTCATTAATGTTTATATTCTAGTCTCACCCCTACACCCCACCCTTTTCCTTTTCCCCATCCCCAACTCACAGTAAACAATGGAAAGAGAGTACCACCAATAAAACTGCCACAGACTGGACTCTATTCTTTCATTCATTTATCGTATATTTATTCAGCCTCCACTAGGCACTAGGCTGGATACTGAAGATACTGTTTCGAGTACAGCAAACTCTGTTCTTGAACTTGCAGAGCTCACAGTCTAGTAGACTTCAGGGCTATTTTGCTCAATTGAGGGATGAATGCTCACTGTGGCTGGGGGAAGGATGAGACCCTTGACCCTCAGATTCTCTAGCCTGGAGTTGGAGCAGGGAATAATGTGTTGGGCATCTAGGCACATTCAGAGACATTCAAACCTCAGAAATGACTTCTGCACCCAATTTGGCCTTCTGTGTCTGGCAACTGCACCAAGGTTGGGTTGTGGGGAAGCCTGGCTGTCTAGCCCCAAAGAGTCACTAATCTGGATCAGAGTGGGCTTCAGGGAGCAGCGAGGGGACAGCTCACAATGGACGTGCACATAGGCATTAGCAAAGCTGAAAAGCCAAACGTGCAGAAGGGATGGTGTGACAAAGGCTTGTGTGACGCTCCTAAGGGCTGGTTTTATGGGAACAATGAATTTTCAGTGGGTTCTGGGGCAAGAGGGACCTTAGAGGGCCAGGTAGGGGTTGGAGGTGGGAAGGCAAAGGGGAACAAGTCAGGTTCAGATGGGAGGTCGGCTCCTCCAAGCACATGGGTGGGTGGCTAAGGAATCCCCCTTGTCAGTGTCTGTCCTGTTTCCAGCTCTGCCAGGAGGCAGGATTCCCTGGAAGTATTTGAATCCCATCAGATGCTGCCGGTCCCACCTTTCACCCAGCAGCCCTGTCCGAATGGGTCGAGAATCCCCAGGCTTACCCCTGACAACGCTGCGTACTGGGCAATACTTTGCCCTGCATGGTGACTTAACACTCTTCAGTGTTTTTCCCAGTTCACTGTACCATTTGATCTGCTCGTTAACCCTGTGAGGAAATTCAGGCTTTCTCAAGTTAATTAACCTGTCCAAGTTCATCTTGCAAGTGACAGACTGAGATCTCTTTGTCCCCACACATTCTGCCACATGAGAAAAAAACAGATACTGGGAAAAAAAGGGGAGGAAAGTAATTGTGAGTGGTGAGGGTCTTGAAGGCCAGACTGAAGAGATTGATCAATATACAGAAGAAATTGGAGCCATCTCTGGTGTTTGAAGAAAATATCTCATATCTCAGATGAGATATGAGCAATGAGTCAGGGTAGGAAAGTAACTGTTTTAAAGGTAAAGTGGGAATAAAGTTTTATTGGAAAATGCCTCATTTTCCCTTGCCCTACATTTTGGGATTGTGAGTCTCCTGCATCAACCCAGCATGATTTCTCTTCTCTTTTGATTTAATCCAGGTATCACAGCTCCCAAAGTTTGTCTAGTCCCACGTGTCCACCAAGCTGGAGACCTGTCAGGCCCTTACCTGGCTATCATGTCTACTAATTCCAGACACTAAGATGGCCACGAGGCCAGTTCTATGAATAGCACCCAGATAATAGTGGGGGAGAAGCTTGGAATGGGTATTCCCCAGGCAGGGGGTCTAGGTGAGAGGTTTTCAGTGGAAGCATTTTTGGGGAGAAGAGTGAATCCATGTCTTTTATTGTCAGATGGGGGGAAGCACAGTGTTCCCCCGGCTCAGAAGGGAAGGGAGGGTCTTAAATGACACTTCTGGGTTCATTTTTTGGAAGCTTTCTCCTCTTCATAGAATAATCAAGAGGAAATTCTAACGGGTGCCCTTATTTCCTGTGACCTCCAGGAGTCTAGGCACTCAGTTCATGAATCTTTCATGCCTTTCACGGTTCCATGTCCAATGCAAAGGCTCTTTAGCCTCCACTGCAGAGCGGTTCCCAGGCCTGCAGGAGATTCTCTGGATTTGGAGAGGAATTGCAGGCACCTCCACCCTGTCGTTTCCATCATTTGTCTCTTCAACCCTATCTCCACCCCTTCACACCAAAACCCCTCTCCTATTAGACACAGATTTCTCTTTGTCCTCCCTCCTACTCCTCCCCCACTAGCCCAACTTCTCCCAATCTCCAAACACACCAGGCTCACAACTTGACTTCTTCAAAATTTATTGTAGAAAACAAGGAGCGGGTAGGGAGAGGGGCTCTAGGCCTGGCCAGTGGCTGTTCTAGGGGTCTGCTGGGGATGGAAGACAATGGTCTGGACACCTCACTTGGTGGCAGGCTGTGTTTTGAGTTCTATGAAATGGCTGAAGAAGTTAAGCAGATCATTTCCAATCTTCTTGACCAAGGGTGTCAGCTGCTCCTGTGTCTTCTCAAAGTAAGCCCTGGATATGTGAGGGATTAGAGGTCAGTGTGAGAGATCCTAGGCACTGGCAGGGTTTTGGTGGTGGAAAGCGAGACCCAAGTCCCCAAACTCTAGTGCCTGCTCCATCCTGGCATGGCAAAGCTCCTAGGAGGAGAGGCAAGCCCTCCACTGGGCAGAGGAACAGACTCTAGAAAGAATCTCAAAGCCCAGTTCCTGCTGTCCCTTTGTGTCCAAGAGGTCGGTGGGATCTGTGGGGTGATGAAGGAATTTTTCTCTCCAATTTAAACCTCATCCTCCCTAAACCTCACCCCCAAGCTCAGTCTTCTGTGGAATCTCCCATCTTCCCTTCTTTCTCTCTACAGCCCCCTGTCCCTGACCCGCTTCCTTTGAGACTTACTTGGCCTGAGCCTGGAGCTCTGGGGCCTTGGCCTTCTCCACCAGGTCCTTGCCATAGTCGGTCACGGTCTGGAGGTACCGAGAGGCCAGGTTCTGCAGACACGACTCTTCCGCCTGTCTCCGAACCAAAGCACCTGCACACACACAGAAACATACACACACACAAGGCTTTGCAGCTGGGTCCCCAGCAATGAGTCCTGGCCTCCTGCCATACCTCTGCCAGTACCCAGCCAGAGCTCTCAGCCCCCTCCCCAAACAGGTATCCAGCTCCAGGTCTTTGGGGGGCTTTCTGGGCTTTAGAGAAGGAAGGATCTTCCTTTTGATCCCCTTTGTCGCCAGACCCGGGCACGGGAGCATAGACAGATGAGTAGCTAGGACCCCCAGCACCTTCTCTCCCCTGGGACCCCTCTCCATGTCACACCCACCTTCAAGGCTGCAGATGGTGAGGAATAGCACAGTCACTGCAAGCAGCTTCATGGTGGTAATGGTGGGGAAGGTGGCCTGGGAACAGTTGGGGAGGGGGAGAACACTGAAGCTGAATGGGCTTCAGCCCCTCCCCAGGGACCCCTACCTAGGTTCCCACTCCAACTTGCTTCCCTCCCTTCCCACAATTAAAACCTGGTCTTCTTCGAATGCTGCCCACACCTCTTACTCCCTTATCCTACCTTCTCAGCGTTTCTGTCCTTGCTGTCTGCGCCTGGCCTGGCTGGGGAGGCAGGGGCTATATACCAGTCTGCTTCCCTACTCCTCTGTCAGGTGATAAGGACTGTGGAGGGGCCAGGTGGGGCAGAGGCCATGTTGGAGTAAACACGTTAGAGAAGTGGGGGAGGAGAGGACAAGCATGCAGGGTACTTGTGACGGGTGGGAGGCAGGGAGGGCTTCATGCAGGCCAAGGAGGGATATTTCAGGCCTACTTGAGACTCATTCTTTTGGGGTCCGGGGCTAGCAGTCCTTGAATTTGACTGCTGCAGGAAGCAGGATTCCTAGTTTTTCTCTGGAAAACTCTGATGTATCAAGCCCTCAGCCCTTGGTATCTTTGTCCCATTATGGGTGTATTTCATCTCTGCAACCCTACCCCCTTCACTGCAACTTGGCAGAGAGGTATTGGGGAACAGAAGAAAGGAGAAAGGAGTTGAAATCAGGGGCAGGGACGATGGGGATGAGGGTTGAGAGAACAAGGATTAGGGTCAGAGGACAGGATTGATTGACTTTGTCCCTTTTTGAGTTAATATGTAATGAGATGGCAGAGAAAACATGAGAGCCCAGAATGATCCTCCTGAGTACTGATCAATCAGTACACCCTACCCCCAATAAAACAAATTTGGAAAGCAGCCTCTGCCCTCCCCTTTCCAATTGGAGGGCTCTGGCAGAAGAAGAGGTGAATGAGAGGCTTCCACCAGGAACAAAGGTTGAAGGTCCCAGGTGATTAAATCGCCTTATCAGTTCTAGGTGGTGGTCAGCCAATATGAGCTAGCAGAGACCATAGCATCCCTCTGACCAAGGCCCCAGCCCTGATTGTGAGGGAGGGCAGAGGTACATTCCCCAGGCCCAAGCGTGTGTGTGAAATCAGCTAAATAGATATCAGAAGTATTTGTATCTTCACTCTTTTGCCATCAAAGTGTATATAGAACATTCCTGAGAGATGGGGGTGGAGATGTGAGGGCTAGTGAGGGAGATGACCAGAGCCCAAGAAATCTTATTCCAACTTGACTTATTCCCCTGTGGAGCGCTTAGTACTTGAAGGGCACTGTTTCGACTTGTTTCCCGCTCTGGAGTGGAGCACATTTGGGGGCGGGAGTCCATATTCCTGGATTTCATTTGGCAACTCTGCCTGGGGAATGAGGGAAGGAAGGATTAAGAGGCAGAGGGCAGATGTTTCAGTGAATAGTTGTGCTAGAACTTAGGCTGCAGCGCCCGCTCCTCTACCCTAGACTCTCACACCCATTCCCATTCCACCAAAAGGACAAGAGGGCTAACTTTGAGAGGTGTAGACCTCTAGGAGGGAGGCGTGGGTCCATGTCCTAGGGAGAGCTGTACTCGTGAGTAGTACTCGTTTGGAAGTGTACTGTGTGCTGTGGTGTACGGTGGAGGGCTGTGAGAAGTTCTCAGGGGTTCGTGGCGGGGGAGGGGAGGGGAGTGCGGCGGTGGAGGTGCGGGAAGGGAGTTGGGGAGAGATTGGGGGAGGGAGAGCCTAGGAACGACATGAACCAGGGTTCCAAAGAAGTCTTCACAGTCGTTTCCTCTGCCACTCTGCGCAAAAAGCAAGTCTCCAGGCTATATGGTGGATAGAGCCTCAGTGGCCCAAGCACCAAGATGCTCCCTCTAGTGTCTTGTATGCTCACAGGTTTTTCCTGACCTTGGAGAGGCCGGCGATCTAAGGCCATCTACTACAGTAAAGCTAAGGAGCTTCCAATCAAGTCCCGCCTGCCTCTGCAGTGCTGGGGTTAGAGCTCTGTGGACGTAAGGTCTGCCGCTAGTTTGCTTCCTCCTCTTCCATTGGCCCCTGGGAGATGGAGGCAGCTTTTTTTTACCGATTGGGCGGGGCCCAATCAAGGGAGGGTCGGGTCTTTGATATCTTTTTTTGCCCGGTTCCAAGATGGCGTTAATGACCACGCTGGGAATGCAGCGTGAAGCTGCAGTTCTGCCATTACTCAAGATGGCTGCCCCCATCAAGATGACCGGGGTGTGCCGGGGGAAAAGCGGTAGCATGATGGTTTGAGACGGTAAGGGCTACTGCTCCATTGCAAGCCTCAGCTAGGGGCCCAGGAATGAAGTGCAGAAAGATTAGGAAGCTGAGTGAGGTCTGTGGTGGGAGCTAGGATTAGAGAGTGGGGGAGGGAACAGGGGTGACAGGTGGGGGTGAAGGATTAACGATGGGATGGGAGTGTGACTGGGGTTCACTCTCCCCATCGGTGCCCTCTTCCCCGACTCTTCCTGTTCCAGGTCTAGCGTCGGACAATGTGGAAGTTTCTGGGACTGGGGAGCCGGATGATGGGGGGTGGGGCCCGTGGGGGATAGCGGGAGCAATAGCGTCCTTTCCCAGGCTAACCCCGGCCCATCCCCTGTCTTCTGTACTGAAATGGGGAACACGTTGGGCCTGGCACCGATGGGGGCTTTGCCCCGCCGGAGTCCGCGTCGAGAGGAACCTCTGCCCAACCCTGGGAGCTTCGATGAGCTGCACCGGCTATGCAAAGGTGAGAACTTGGCATTTGAGCCTCTCAAGTTGAAGAGGCAGAGGAGGGGAGGGTCTTGAACGCTGGGTGTCTAGTGATGGGAGTAGGAAAGGGGAGATCACAGTCCGGGCATCCAGCCTCAGGGAGGATCAGGTGCCAGAATGAAGTGGAGCATTTCAATACAGGACTTGAAAGGAGGTCAGTTCCTCCAAAGCGCTTTCTATGGGATTGAAAGGGGAGACTATTTCTTGGGGGTAGGGGTTCCTTGTCTGTGCTTATTCCTTCCCTTCCCCTCCCCTCCACCCCCTTCAGATGTATTCCCAGCACAGATGGAGGGAGTGAAGCTCGTTGTCAACAAGGTTCTGAGCAGCCATTTCCAGGTGCTCCCACTTCTCTGGCCCCTCCTTACTATTCCTCCCTGCCTGTCCCTGGATCCTCTTCTCCTTAGCCAGGCTATATGGGACAAGTGAGGGAGGATGAGGGGCTCTCTTTAATTCCCTTGCCTGTGGGACTTGTTGCTTTTAATCTGTATATGTTTGAACATTTGGGATTCTTAAAAGGCCTTCTGGATGGGGAGAAGATGAAGGGTGGGATGGGGGATTGAAATGGAGCAGGAATGCTCTCTCCTCCATTGACTTCTCTTTCTTCAGGTGGCTCACACCGTGCACATGAGTGCTCTGGGCTTGCCCGGCTACCACCTCCATGCAGCCTATGCCGGGGACTGGCAACTTAGCCCCACGGAGGTGAGGGCTTCACATACCTGGGTCATCTCCCTAAGAGCTCACCTGGGACACAGGTCCAGAGGAGGAGAAAAATGTGTGTGTTATGGGGAAGAATGGGCAGGACACCTGCTTCTCTGTGTTTCGTCTGAATGGGAGAGGGTGGGGAAACATTTCTGTGTGCTCAGTAGGAGTTTGTCTTTGTGGCTCCACTAGGGGGCGCTGGATGCTGTTAAAGAAATCCTGTATTTGGATTTAGGCTGAGTGGTGCCGCCCAGCTCGGTCTTACTGTCTACGCTCTTCAACAGGTGTTCCCCACAGTGGTAGGGGATATGGACAGCAGCGGCAGCCTCAACGCCCAGGTCCTGCTCCTCTTGGCAGAGCGACTGCGAGCCAAGGCTGTCTTCCAGGTGACCCATGGCTCCTGCCTTCATCCTCTAAAGCATTTCCTCTTTCTCCTCCATGAGTGCCCTGCTCTGGGGACTCCAGGGAGACAAGCAGAGGCAATAGTGATGATAAAAAGGAAGGGAGATCTTACTTCTTGCTCTCCCTACCCAGACGCAGCAGGCCAAGTTCCTGACTTGGCAGTTTGATGGCGAGTATCGGGGAGATGACTACACAGCCACTCTGACCCTAGGAAATCCTGACCTGATTGGGGAATCAGGTGAGGAATCGGGACAGGGTTCTTTTTATCTTGGCTGCACACTTGCTAATGTTGCCTATGCCTCTTTGTTGTCTGTACAGTTCAGGGATTAGAAAAAACTTGGGCCGGCTGGGGTGGGGGCTTCTTGAGGTGAAGGAGATGGCCTGGGTATTGTTTCTGTGACTGACTCCATGTTTCCCCACTCCCCTACAGTGATCATGGTCGCTCACTTCCTGCAGAGCCTCACTCATCGGCTGGTGCTAGGAGGAGAGCTAGTTTATCACCGGCGGCCAGGCGAAGAGGGGGCCATCTTGACCCTGGCTGGGAAGTACTCTGGTATGGGGTGAGGAGGAATAGTAATGGAGAGGGGAAATTCTGGACTTGGCTGGGTTCTTAGCCTGTGTCCTACTACAATAATGCTCCTTTTCTCCCGTACTTTGGTCTTTACAGCTGTACACTGGGTAGCTACGTTGAATGTGGGATCAGGTGGGGCCCATGCAAGTTATTACCACAGGGCAAATGAACAGGTGAGACTACCGATGCTGTCTCCCACCCCACAAGTCAGTCATGAACTTTTGCCTGCCCTCAGGCCTCCACAGGCCCTGCTATTCTTCCTATCCATACTACGCATACGTTCCTTGCATGCCTTCATTCTGCTGATTCCCTGTCAGGACTCCTGTAGTCTTTGCTGAGACAGATCCCTCTCCCATCCTTGCTCATGCTTCTCAGGTTCAGGTTGGAGTGGAGTTTGAGGCGAACACAAGGCTACAAGACACAACCTTCTCCTTTGGTTACCACCTGACTCTGCCCCAGGCCAACATGGTGTTTAGAGGTGAGGGTTATTGAGATGACAGTCAGGTACTGAAGGATTGGGAGGGACGGAAGGGGGGAAGCTCCGCCTACTTCTGCTGACCCCTTTCTCCAAGCCCTGTTAAGTAACCTAATCTCTATTTTCTTCCCCAACAGGCTTGGTGGATAGTAACTGGTGTGTGGGTGCTGTGCTGGAGAAGAAGATGCCCCCGCTGCCCGTCACTCTAGCCCTCGGAGCCTTCCTCAACCACTGGCGTAACAGATTCCATTGTGGCTTCAGCATCACTGTGGGCTGAGGTTGTCCCAGAGTCAGCCACCACAGCAGTGGAATCTCTGAGTCAGGTGCCCTAGGGCCAGAGACTAGGCCTCTTTCCAGAGCCCACCTTGCTGGGTCACCTCTAGGTCCCAGGAGCAGAGTGGGGGACAGGACCATGCCCTCCTCAGAACTGGAGCTGTCACAGGGGCAGCTGATGAGGCAGTGGTTTGAGGCTCCCACCTCTGCCACCAGCCCGGTATCATCTTCCCATGCTCTTGTGGCTCTAAAGACTAAAGGAGAAGGATTAAGGGGTATGTCTGGGTGAATTGTCTCTCCTCACTCCCCCCTTCTTCATTCTCCCTATGGATTAAAGCTCCTAGCCTCTTCCTCTTCAGAGCAGAAAATTCGGCATGGGATTACCTCCCCATTTTGTTTTCCTAAGACTCCCAAGACTGGGAAAGAAGGGCTGAAGGGCTAAATCTTTGACCTCAGAAAGTGGGGCCCACCCATTCCCAGAAGGAGCTTCTTTACCTCTTAGCCCTGAGGCTTCCTCCTTCCCCATCTTCTGTGCTTCCAGAGAACAACTTTGTCCCCAAGGTCACCCTCTCTCCCCCGATGACTGCATGAAGAGGCAGTTATTACTTTAGTCTTTCATTGCAACCACTGGGCTTCCTTTCTACTCATCCCAACCTCTGGTCCCAGCATTTCCCCCTTTCCAGTCCAGTGTGTTCAGATGGGCTGGGGAAGGAGGTGAGCTACGGCTTCAGCTGCAGATTTCCTGGAGCAGTGGCATCATGGCGGACAGTCCCCGGATGTGCTGGATTTGGTACCCGTATGCATTGTTAAGGCTCCGGAGCTCAGCCAACAGGCCCAGCAGCTTCGCATACAGAAACCTTGGAGGAAGTATTGGGGTCACCAGGGAAAGAGGAAGAAAATAAGGCAGCTGAGAGTCTTGTCCTGTGGCCCTGATCCCCTGAACTACCCGTCAGTGAAGCTAGGTTTGAACACTAAAGAAAATCATGCTCTGATATAACAAATTTATCAAAAGTTCCAAAGGTCCCCAGGGGAGCCTCTGTCTAACATTGTCTTATCTCACCATGCCCAGTTTTTCTTGAACCCAGAGCTCTTAGGGCCAAGTGTGAAGAGAGCTTCAGACTTGGCCAGAACGTAACTGTGTGGGTCTGGCCTTCTAGAGCAGGTTCTAGAAGGTGGGTGTGTTCTATGGTATAAAGCATCCCTCTCTGACCAAACTGGCTCATTGAGAAATGAGCAGGAGAAGAAGTGGAGCAGACCTCAGAGCCTGGAGAGATCATGGGCTGTTGGGCCAGGGATTGGCTTTGGCCATGAAACTGTGAATGACCATAACCTCGAGGGGAATGAAAAATTAAAGGAACTGACCCAATGGAGAGGAGGGGAAGGATGAAGGGAAGAATGAGCAAGACTCCCGAAAGGCTGCTTTAGTCTGGAGAAGTTGAATTGGTGAGGCGATGGATGTCATCAATCTCAGGAATGCTATTATACAGAGCCTGTGAGCTACTACTTTGCATCTACTAAATAAAAAAATCTGGAAAAAGTGAGATGAAACAGCAGTAGAAGCAATTTGGATGCTGGAACCATATGAGATGGGAGGGAAGGACTAGACCCCCAAGGGACCTGGTTCCCCAAAGGAAAGGACAGTAAAAGTATTCATCCTGAGCTCAGTATTTCCCCGACCCCTTCTTGCCCTAGTGCAGCCTCCAAGCCCCCACTCTCCCACTGTACCGATCCCGGGGCCTTGGCTGCTGGCCGTTGATGTAGCTGTGCAGAGTCAGTGCCATCTCCTCTTGGACCTGATCAATCTCTTCCCTCCTGGTAATCCCAGGCCGGTCTGTAAGATAGGGAGCAGGGGAAGGACAAGGTAGGGGCTGGGGGTGGGCCTGCACTGTGCTGCAGGGGCTGGGATAGACCCATTCCACGGGTTTGAAGACTAAATGGCCTGGGATGGATGGATTCAAGGAGCTGAGAGTTTGGGCAGACGTGGTGGAACAAAAGCTTCTGGGCTTTGGGGGGATGCTCACCAGGAGAGAAGAGGGCCATGGCAGCCATGAGCACATACTCGGGCACCTGGAGCTGCAGCCGCCGCAGTGTCCCATGGAAGCGAAAGAACAACTCTAAAAATTCTTCCTGGAACCCCACTGTGGGAGATACTAGGCTTAGGAGCCTTCAGGTCACCTTGCCACATACCATATGACAAGGACACATGCCCTCTACTGTTCTAGCATCATCTCACCACGGGCTCCATCTTCTATTGTGTAGTGAAGAGGTCCACAGAGAAAGTTTTGGGTTTGGAGACAGAAAGTGGTATTGAGTGCGATCTGACAGATTTCTAGAGCTGCTCCCTTGAGAAGGGAGATCTGGTCCTCCATGGGCAAGGACCTGTGGGGAGCAGTGAACAAGGGCACTTTAGACTCTAGCCTGAACTTCAGAGAGGGTAAGGAACTCCCAGTTCTGACTGAGATACTTAGAAAGAAAGTTGAGAATTCAAGACCTGGTGCTTGGAAAGGCTGAGGGATGGATTTGTTTGGTCAGTGACTTTTTTTTTTGGTGGTGGGGAGGGGTTGCAATTTACTGGAGTGTTTTTTCCTTGAAAGGGAAGGGAATGTCACTCACCGGAAGAGGGGTAGATCCTTGGTGAACTTGATGACTTGCTGTACCATGAAAGTGTTGATGTCTGCAAAGTGCGTGAGCAGAGGCAGTACAGGGACCAGGGTGGGCAAGCCTTGGTGATGGATGAACAGATGAGCTGGAGGCTGCAGAGATGAGAGCCTGAGTCTGAGGCCCTGGTCCTAGGGATCTCCTTTAGGACTTGCCAGCCTTATCTTGGAAGGGTTCTGGGCTGAGGAGCCTGCCTAGGCTGGGATTCTGGAGAAGTCCTGTGCTCTGTATTGGTGCATGGTACACAGCCCCCTCCCTCATGCCAGCCTCCTTGGGCACCCTTTTGGTCACATTCCAGCCCAAATCCTGTAAGTGCTCACCCTGAACTGTACAAACTGCTCAAACATGGTGCCCATGTGGCGGTTGTGGGCCCCCAGGAGGATCTGGACTAGCTCTTTCTGCTCCTTACTCAGCTGCGTAGGTGCTTGCTGTGCCCGTCGCTGGGCCTGCTTTGCTCGCCGCAATGCCAGGGCTTCTGACGACAGGATCACTGTGCCCAGGCAAGAGATATGACAAAGCTATTGAGACCAGCAGAGGGCACCGTCCTCTGCCAGCCCCTGGTCTGGGACTCCTCAGACCGCCTGCACAATGAGGGATGCAGGGACCGAGGAGAGTTCCTGAGTCCTCCTTGGGCTTGGCTGAAGTCCCAGAGGCTCCAGGTGGTAGGGGATTCCTGTGCACTTTCCCCAACCTGTGAGGCACTGCAGCAGAAAACAAAGCACTGTGGGAGAGAAGGCAAGGGTGGAGAATAAAGTGCAAATAGTGTTAAGGAGAGGTTTGGCTTCTGGGGGAACACTGAAGAGGGAGGGCTCTTCATACCTAAAACATCACCTTATATTTGCATAGCATTGTAATTTCAAAGCTTCTGAGGTTAAATCTGGCAGGATGAAACAATCCTATGGGTAGACAGGGCAGGTGTTATTATCCATATTTTTCAGAAATGTAAACAGGCTGAGATTCCAGTGATAGGTCCAAGGTCACAAAATACTTAAGTGATGTAGATTGAATTCAAACCAAGATTTTTTGACTCTCTCAGTTTCCCTTTCACCACTCCATATTGAAATGCAGTGTGATGTCATGGAAAAAGCAAGGGTTTGGGAGTCAGACAGAAGTTTGAATACTGACTCTACAACTTTTTAGCTGAGTGGACTTGGGCAAGTTGACTTCTGTGAGCCCTAGTTAGATTATCTGTTGGGAGCATAGCCTAATTACCTGGCACAGAGAAAAAGCATTAAATAATTAATTCAACAATTATTAAGTACCTATATGACAATCACTATACTTGAGAGAAAGTAGAGAAAGAGCAAGGGGCCGGCCCTGTGGCCGACTGGTTAAGTTTGCGCGCTCTGCTTGGGTGGCCCAGAGTTTCGCTGGTTCGGATCCTGGGCGCGGACATGGCACTGCTCGTCAGGCCACGCTGAGGCAGCGTCCCACATGCCACAACTAGAAGGACCCACAACAAAATATATACAACTAGGTACTGGGGGGATTTGGGGAGAAAAAGCAGAAAAAGAAAAAAAAAAGAAGAGGAAGAGCAAGCGGGATGGATATCTAGGGGAAGGGTGTTCCTGGTAGAGGGAATGGCAGGTGCGAATGTGAAAGTCCTGAGGAGAGTGTGCTTGGTGTGTTTGAGGTGGCATTGAAGTCAGTGTGGCTGGGAAGGATTGAGCAAGGGGAAAAGAGTAGGAAATAAAATCAGAGAAGTGGTATGGGGGAGCTAGACCAGGAGATCAGGGACCATAAGAGAGAGGAGGAGCCATTGGAGGTTTTGAACAGAAGAGCGACATCATCTGACTTGTTTCAAAAAGCTGTCCACTGTGTGGAGAATATGCTGTGGGAACAAGGGCAGAGAGACATAGTGAATTCTTGGGATCGTGGGGGCTAACTCACTGTCCTTCTTCATGCCAGCATTTAGGCACTTCTGCAACCTGCAGGCTGGGCAGTGGCGCCTCTGGGCCTTGCTGACGTTACAGCTTCCAGCAAAGGGGCAGGTGAGACCAGTTTTTTTGTTGACTGTTCGTCTGTGAGAGGTAGAATTGTGAGAGTTGGAGATGGCAGTGAACAGTGGGTATGTGAGGGGCTGAGATGACATAGTCTAAAAGAATCTATGGTGACAAGGGCTAATCTGAGCTTTGCCCAAAAGTTCCTAAGGGTGGATAGGGTACGACACATCTCAGGCATTTCCATGGAGGGCCAGGGTCACTCAGAAAAGCCTTGTTGACACAGTACTAGCCTGGAGCTCCGTGGGTAGTGAGTACATATCAGGTACTCTTGACTAAGGGGTTGTGTCCATAGGGCAAACACTTTCCCTCTATTTATACAGTATTGAGGCTGGCAAGATGGAACATGCTAGCTCCAGGGTAGTTAGGCTCTAGGATGCAGGAGTGATATAGTTGAACGAGCTTGGGCATGTGCCAGGGCTTAAAGCCTGCCTGGCGGGCCACTGGGGAGGTTGTTTCTCTTGGGGAGGAGGCTCTCACCTGAAGAAACCCTTGCAGCCCTCACAAGTCAGGGCATGGAAGTGATAGCCTGTAGCTCGGTCCCCGCATACCACGCAGTTCCTAGGCTCATCTTCCTCACTGGCCATGGCTTCAGATGTTGGGGTGGCTGTCATAGGCCCCTGAATGTAGGAGGGGTTAGCAGTCAGCTCTGGGCCACCCCTGACCCACTTCTCCCCCTTCTATAGAGCTTCTTCCCAACCCTGCCCCGGGCCTGATATCTGTACTTTATTGCATTTTTTTTTTTTTTTTTTTGAGGAAGATTAGGCCTGAGCTAACTGCTGCCAATCCTCCTCTTTTCGCTGAGGAAGACTGGCCCTGAGCTAACATCCGTGCCCATCTTCCTTTACTTTATATGTGGGACGCCTACCACAGCATAGTGTGCCAAGTGGTGCCATGTCCGCACCTGGGATCTGAACCGGTGAACCCCAGGCCGCCAAAGCGGAAGGTGCGCACTTAACCGCTGCACCACCGGGCCAGCCCTGTACTTTATTACTTTTAGTCTCTGGTCCCCAACAGATTTCCTACCTGCTCCTCTTAGGCAGCATGTCACCTGCAGGCCACAGAATCTGGTATGGGATTCCTCTCCCCAAACTCTCACTCTGCTTCTGCTTTCCCCTTGATCTCGGGAGCTGCTGGCGTTTGGAGTTTGGGATTATGACCCTTGGTACCTGGAAAACAGAACTTCTGCTGTGTGTGGCCTCCACTTGTCCTCAGTGACCACCTAGATAGGGCACGGCCTCTGGACCCAGGGCAAAGGCCTGGGTAGGAGGTTTTCCCAGAATGCCCATGGTGCTGGTTGCTGGCACATGGGGAGGGACTCTGGTGGGTGGGGACCTCATGACCCATTAGAAACTGCTCCTTATTAGACCCATGGAGATTTTCCTTGCTGCTGAGCTTTAGGCTAGATCTGCAGCCTTCTCTGTACATGGATCCTGGACAAGCTGGGAAGAGAGAGGGTGAGACAGAGCCAGCTTTTTCACTTGCAGGAAGTCAATAGGAAAAGAATATATGTAACAATTGTATGATGCCCCCAAAACGAAAGCTCTTCAAAAGAGATGGGATCTAATTAAGAACATACACACAGAGCTAGAAGAGGTCCAACTTCTGAGAATTTGGAAGGGCTGAGAATTAAATCAGAGAGGCCTCTAATCAATTAGAGGTGGTTGAGATTGATTTGGGGACTGGAGCCAGAGCTGGCTTTGTGGGTGCGTGACTTGTGCAGTCACATAACACCCTCTGCTCAGAGGGGTCTTGGGCTTGGTTAATGCCTACTGTTGCCGTTTTGAAATTCTTAATGATTTTTGAACAAAGGACTTTGCATTTTCATACTTCAGTGGGCCCTGAAAATTATGTCTCTGGTCCTGTCTGGAGCCAAGACAAAGGACTTCTAGTTAATAAGTTTGAGAATCAGAAGTAGGATCTTCACTGGGGTTGTCTAGTGCTCCATTGACACTGAAGAACATTTTTGCAAGTGTAAAAATACATATATATACTCTCCCAACATTTATGAACAGAAAAAGTAATTTCAAAAGCTATTTGGATGTTTTGGGCATGAGCGATATGTTGGATACGTCTATTTGGATAAATCTGATCCCACGCACACTGGAATAAAGGCAAAGTCACAGTCTTCCAATTTGCAGGGTCCTTCTCACTGCAGATCTCCCTGGGGGTTTGCTGTTTGTGCACTCACACAGTCTTCTCCCACTAGAAATAAGCATTTTTCTTTTTTCCTTTTTTATAGGCGGGGGGGGGCTGTTATGTATTCTGCTTCATCAATTAAGAGTTAAATTACAGTTAATGTTGCTCTGAAAATGAGTTAAAAACCCAAGTGCAGGCTAGAGTCATAAACACACACAGGGAGAGACAGAGACAAAGAGAAGAGACTGAGTTAACAGGAACCTTGTTTAGGTTCCCAGAATGAGTTGGTGGAACCCTTAATCTTAAGAGGTACAACATACAACTATGCATAACATTGCATTTTGAAAGAAGCTGAGTTCTAGTGAGCACAGGTGCTTAGATCTGGTCCCTGGAAGATGGTGAGCATATTTACGTGTATGCATCTGTTGGTATCTTTGCTTAAGTGTGACTCTGAGAATTCATACTAATTCATTCAATCAACAAATATTGACTGAGAACCTACTATGTGTTAGACAAAAACACATATAAAAAGATGAATAAGATGGTCTCCTGCCCTCAGGGAGTTTAAATGTACTAGTGGGGGAGACAGACCTTTAAATAGAAATATAGCCAATATAGATATAGATCAATGATGGTGCTATGCACAGAGCATTATGGGACCCCAGGAAAGGGGCACCTAATGCTGCTTTGGCAAAGGGATGTTGAGCAGGAGGCAGGGAATGCTCCCTGGACGAGTGACAACTGAGTTGATTTTTTTTTTTTTAAAGATTTTATTTTTTCCTTTTTCTCCCCAAAGCCCCCCGGTACATAGTTGTGTATTCTTCGTTGTGGGTTCTTCTAGTTGTGGCATGTGGGACGCTGCCTCAGCGTGGTCTGATGAGCAGTGCCATGTCCGCGCCCAGGATTACGAGCTAACGAAACACTGGGCCATCTGCAGCGGAGCGCGCGAACTTAACCACTCGGCCACGGGGCCAGCCCCACAACTGAGTTGATTTTTAAAGGATAATGAGTTAACCAGGTGAAAAATAAAAGGCAACTCAGGCAGAGGGTGCAACCTGAGAGGTTCAAGAAGCGAGATACAAAAAAGTGGATATGGTAGAACCACAAACAGGCCTCTCTTGTTGGTGCATAACATTTCAGTCTGGGAGTGGGAAGAGAGAAGTCAGAGAGATGGGGTTTGAGGCTGAGATGTAGGCAGGACCAGTCCATTGTAGACCTCACGTGCCAGACTAAGCAGCCTGAAGCTATCAGGAAGCTTTTAAAGGGTAAGCTGGGAAATGACATGGTCAGATCTATTCTAGATAGATCTGTCTTATTCTAGCTATCTTACGCTGCTGGCTGTTTGGAAGATGGATTTGAGAGAGCAGGACTGGAGGCAAAGTGACCAGTTAGAAAGTTATTGCCATAATGTAGGTGAGAGAAGATTAAGCCTGAGCTAGGATAGTGGCAGGATTAGAGGAGGAGAGGGTTTTGAGAAATACATGGGTTGTGAAATAATTGGAACTTGGTGACTACTGGAATGTCTGGGTTGAGAAAGAGGAAGAGGAGTTAAAGATGACTCCAGGTTTCTAGCATGGGTGATTGAGTGGATGGTGGCACCACCAACTGGGAGAGAGACTACAGGAGGAGAACAGGGTCATCCATCCTTGGGCCCCTATCCACTTCCATGGTTGCCAACTTACTCTAGGAATAAGCTATTAAGTGCCTACTCTGTGACAAGGCACTATAAGGAGGGAGAAAATAGAGGGTCCCTGTTACCAAGGAATTTACTGTATAATTATGGAGACTGCATAAATAAATTGAACTCCAGCTCTTAAAAGGAGATATATAATTAAACTCTAAATTGTATGGTAAAGATTATGTGTATTATTACAGGTATTAATTGCTTAATTAATTTATTCTTATTGAGTGCCCAATATGAGTGGAGTACTGTGTAAGAATCCTTACCTGTGTTAACCTGATAAGTAACATCATCATTTTACAGGTGAGAAAACTAAGGCTCAGAGAGTTGAAATAATTTGTACAAGGATCAATATACCAAATTGTTTATTAGATGACTTCATTTGGATATCACATAGGCATCTCAAATTCAGTCTGTCTAAAATGGAGCTCTATGATACCCAAAGCACAAGCAACAAAATAAAAAATAAACAAGTGGGACTACATCAAACTAAAATCACAGAAAAAGAAATGATCAACCAAAATGAAAAGGCAGCCTACAGAATGGGAGAAAATATTTGCAAATCACACGTCAGATAAGGGGTTAATATTCAAAATACATAAGGAACTCATATAACTCAAGAGCAAAAAAATAAACAATAGAATTTGAAAACTGGGCAAAGGGCCTGAATAGACATTTTCCCAAAGAAGATATTCAGATGGCCAACAGGTACATGAAAAGGTGCTCAATATTACTAATCATCAGGGAAATGCAAATGAAAACCACAATGAGAAATCACCTCACACATGTTAGGATGGCTGTCATTGAAAAGACAAGAGATAAATGCTGGCAAGGATGTGGAGAAAAGGGAACTCTTGTGCACTGTTGGTCAGAGTGTAAATTGGTATAACCACTAAGGAAAACAGTATGGAGGTTCCTCAAAAAGTTGAACATACAACTACCATATGATCCAGCAATTCCACTCTGAGTATATATCCAAAGGAAAGGAAATCACTGTGTCAAAGAGATATCCACACCCCCATGTTTATTGCAGCATTATTTACAATAGCCAAGATATGGAAACAACCTAAGTGTCCGTCAGTGGATGAATGGATAAAGAAGATGTGAGATCTGTCTGTCTGTCTATCTATTGAATGGAATACTATTCAGTCATAAAAAAGAAGGAAATCCTTGTTGTGACAACATGGATGGACCTTGAGGGCATTATGCTAAGTAAAATATCGGACATAGAAAGACAAATACTGTATGATCTCACTTATACGTGGAATCTAAAAACAGCCCAACCTCATAGAAAAGAGATCAGATTGTGGTTGCCAGATGTGGAGGGTGAATGGAGAGTAATTGAGGGAAGGTGGTCAAAAGGTACAAGCTCCCAGTTATACGATAAATAAGTTCTGAGGAGGTAATATGCAACGTGTAATACAGTTAACAGTACTGTTCTGTATGTTTGAAAGTTGCTAAGAGAGTAGATCTTAAAAATTTTTATTACGAGGAAAAAAATTTGTAGTTATATGAGGTAAATCACTTCACAATATGTACATACAGCAAACCATTGTGTTGTATACCTTAAACTTATACAATGTCATATGTCAATTATACTTCAATAAAACTGGAAAAAATAAAATAAAATGGAAGTCATTGCCACCCTTCCACAATCTAATTTCTCCCATATTACCTAACTTGGTGCCTATCCCAACACGAGAAGGTGGAAAAAGCATGGGCTCTGGAGTCATACAGACTTAGGTCAAATTCTGGTGCTGGCTCTTGCTAGCTGCATTACTTTTTTTGCTCCTTCCCTAATTATTTGACATCACTGAGACCCAGCTTGATGTGAGTCAGATATCATCAGGCTGGGCCAATCCCAGGCCAGGGAAGTGAGGCCGACTTCCTCTCCCTAGATCAGTTTTGAATACTTAGGGAGGAGTTCAGGCTGGAGGAAAGATGCTCTGGTGCAGGGCTGACCCTTCACCTGGGGCCCAGGATTGCCCTGAGCCTTGTTCTTCATGGAGAAATCTACCTTGCAATTCTTTGAGATGGGTTTGCCTTGGGGACGCACCTCTCTGAGATTGCTCTTCTATATACAGAAATGCTCCCCCAGCCTCAGGGTATCTCCCAAGAGGGCAGACTGAGCCTGGGTTCTGCTGCAGGATGCCCCTAGCATCCATGGTGTATGGGCTTTCAGAGTTAGCTGATGTCCCTGCCCTCTTCCAACATGCCTGTTCAGGGCCAGGATCTGGAAAACATCTGTGTTGGTTGTGGCCTGGTGGGTTAAGCTCTCTGAACTCCAGTTTTCTTATCTAGAAAGGGGAGGTTAATAACACCCACTAGCCAGGTTTGTTGTGAAGATTAAATAAAGTAATATATGTAAAGTTTCTTACACAGTGGTTGCAACATGGAAGGAAGTTGATACATATTCATTCTCTTACCCTCTTCCTTTCCTTCCTCTCCACTACCACCCTGTCCCAGATGTCAAGCCAAAACCTGGGTAGTCACCTAGCTTCCTTTCACTCCCTCCATAGAAATGATCAGTTGCTATGCCATGTCCCTCCTATCTCCTGACCCCTACATGCTCACTACCTCTTAGCTGAGTTCAGATTCTTATCATTTTCCACTTATTATGCAGGAGCCTATTAAATTATTCTCCCTACAACCAGCCTCATCTCCTTCCAACCCATCCTCCATGCTGTTGCTATTTCTAAAATGCAAATATGATCATGTCTCTCCCCTGCTTAAAATTCCTCATTTGCTTCTCATCACCTTCAGGATAAAATCCAATTTCTTTAGCATGTCACACAAAGTCCTTTGTGATCTGGCCCCTATTTATCACTCTGGCCTCATCTATTCCAAGGCCACTTCTCTCCCGTGACCTAACACATCACACTTTGGCTCTAAATGTGCTTAAGCATTTAGAGTTTCCTGAACAAGCTGTGCTCACTCACCTCTGAATATCTGCCCTTGTTATTCTGTCTGGTTGGAATTGCTGCATACCTCCTCCCTTGGCCCTCCTGATCCTCTTGGCCCTTCAGGCTTGAGCACAGCAGATCACCTCTGGGAGCCTTTGGGTTAGAGCTATACCTCTGCACACACATTTGTCATAGCACTTATCACATTGCAGAGCAATTGTCTGTTTCTTTCTGACTCTGTCAATCACTGTGAGTTGTTGAAGTCAAGAGCTGTCTTTTTTATTTTTGGATCCTTACGGTCTTGTATACTCCAGGCATATATAATAAATATTTATAGAATGAATAAGTGGGCTAGGATATGAATTAAGGTCTGATTCCAAATTCGTGCTCTTTCCATGTGGCATCATATGTTATTATTTGTGACAGCATCCATTAATTCAACAAATGTTTAATGGATATCTACTTTGTGCCAGGCATTTTCTAGCAATGTAGGT